CAGCTTATAAAGGAAAGACTGCAGGCATAAATAGAGAATAAGGGGGTGCTTGGGGAGCTGCAGAACGGATTTCGGAAACACCGGAGGTTGGAAGACAATCTGTTCTCAGTGACGCAGTGCATCGAAATAGCAGGAAAAGAACACAGGCCCCTGTGGCTAGCATTTTTAAATATCAAGGGAGCGTACGATAGCGTGGTTGAAGAAGAATTATGGGGAATAGTGGACACACTAGGCGAAGAACATCTAGTCACTAATATTTTAACGGATATCTATAAAGGTAACAAGGTAGTTATAAAGTCGGAAAAACAGGTATCCAAGCCTGCAGAGGTAAAACGGGGGCTTAGGCAGGGGTGTCCCCAGTCACCCTTATTAATGATGTACCTACAAGGATTAGAGGTCAAATAGAGAGAAGGGGACTGGGCTTCAACCTTTGTTTCCTCTAACAAGGAAAACTCATTGAACTGGCACTACCAGCATTGATGTATGCAGATGATATAGTGCTAATGGCCGACAACAAGGAAGATTTGCAGAGATTGGTGGGCATCTGCGGTAATGATGGAGATAGGTTAGATTACAGATTCAGTAAGGAAAAATCAGCAGTCATAATTTTATTGACAATGAAGGTAGCGAGCTTAGAATACAGGAGGTCACGCTAGAGATAACAGATAAATACAAATATCTGGGCGTATGGATAAGCATTGGGGCCGAGTGCCTAAGGGAAAAAGAAATATACGTGACGACTAAAGGTAACAGGAATGCAGCGGTAATGAAAAAACAGGGCACTGTGGAATTACATTATGTATGATGTTGTCAGAGGAATATGGAAAGGGGTCATGGTTCCTGGTATGACGTTCGGCAATGCCGTCTTGTGCATGATATCAGAAGTTCAAGCAACATTAGAAGTTAAGCAACGTAGAATGGGTAGGCTTGCCTTAGGAGCTCACGGGAATACACCATATCAGGAAGTACAAAGTACAAGGTGATATGGGATGGACATCATTTGAGGGCAGGGAAGCTAGCATCAAGATAAAATTTGAGAAGCGATTGAGAGAAATGGGGAAGAGCGTTGGGCTAGAAAGGTATTCAGCTACTTGTATATGAAGAATGTCGATACAAAATGGAGGAAGCGAAGCAGCAAATTGACTGGTAAATACTTAGAAAACAGCAGGGGGCCACACCAAAAAGAATTATCGGTTAAGAAAAAAGTGAAGGAAGCTGACACTGATATGTGGAGAATTGGCATGATTAAGAAGTCCGCACTAGAGGTCTATCGAACTGTTAATCGGGAAATTGCCAAGGAAAGGATCTATGATAATACTCGAGGTAGTTCTCTACTGTTTGAGGCCAGGACGGGAGTATTGCGAACCAAGACATATCGGGCCAAATACGAAGGGGTAGACACGGTACGCAGTGCGTGTGGAGAGGAAGAAGAAACTGCCGAACACTTGATAATGTTCTGTAAAGGGCTTCGCCCTATAGTTCAGGATGACGGCGCAGAGTTTTTCAAAGCACTGTGGTTTAGGAACCGCGAGGGCAAAATAGACTTTAAGCAAGTAGATTTAACTAGAAGGAGGTTATCTGATTGGTGGCTAAAGTCAAGGCGCGAGTGAAAATTAAACCCTTCAGTGCAAAGTACGAATCCTCAACCTCACTTTTTAAAAGGAAAAAAAATCAATCTAGTTTTTGATTCATTAAGTATTGCGGCTTAGTGGCGCTAGCCACCGCCCGATCTAAAGGGTACAGCCATATCCATCCATCCGGTTCGGACTGTCACGGTGGATGGACGTGTTTTTTGAGCGCTTCCGATCAGCTGCGCAGATAAGTTGTTTTGCGTGTTTTGGGCTTGTCTTTATAATTATAGGGCAGCAGTTAAAATCCCTGTAGCACTTATTTTATTGTACGGCTTTTTTGGGGGTCAGTCACCAGGTATTTATTAGTTTGTGCGTGTCTGTGTGTGTGTTTGATTTTTTTGTTTTTTTTCTTTTGCCATCCCGTGGGGGAGGTGCACGTACATTGAACACGCAGTTTTTTTGTAGTAGAGCTTAGACTTTCTCTTTTTCGTAGGGCAGGGCTCAAGTTTTGTAATTATCGAGTGAGACAAGTCATAGGGACAATTGGTGTCGGAAAGACATGGTTAAAAAGGCTGTAAAGTGTTCAGTATGTGTTGTTGGTTTGAAAGTGGACCCAAGTGTAGAAGCGGAAGGAGAAGAGGCTGACGTGAAGTGTAGGCACAGTGAGGTCGAGGAAAAAATGGAGAAAATGATGCTTACCCATAGTGACCTGTTGATGAGAATCACCGAGCTCGACACTGCGTTGGCGACAGAGCAAGAGAAAACGAGGGCAATGGGAGAAGGCTGAAGTCCGCCGAGAAAGCACTAGCCAAGGTGAACAAAGGAGCGGCCTACGGAGGGAACAGTAGGGAACCGGCAACCAGAACGGCGGAGAATAAAAAGCAAGCAGGTTTCTGAAAAAACAGGTTCAGCTGGTTCAATTGTCGCAAGGCCCAGCTTCAGCAAAGTAGTGGTGGGGCTGGGAGGGGACAAAGCAGCCGGCCCAACACTTGATAATGCTCTGTAAAGGGCTTCACCCTATTGTTCAGGATGATGGCGCAGAATTTTTCAAAGAACTAGGGTTTAGGGACAGGGAGGGCAAAATAGACTTTAAGCGGGTAGAATTAGTAAAACGAGGCTATATGATTGGTGGTTAAAGTCAAGGCACGAGTGAAAATTAAACCCGACACTGCAAAGTACGAGTCCTCAACCTCACTATTTAGAGGGAAAGAAATAAATTTCGCTTTTGGTTCACTAAGTTTTACGGCTTGGTGGCGCTAGCCACTGCCCCATCTAAAGGGCACAGCCATTTAAATCCATCCATCCATCCATCATCGTTATTCGATGGCCTGCACGCTGGCCTCCTCGTGACTACGTCCTCTTCGTTCTCGTCGCTTCGTAGTCACTGCAGCAAATGACAAGTTCCCGCAACGAGTGTTACCCACGGGTAGCAATATCTTTTCAATACTCCCACCTGCCTGATCACAACCCCGTTGAAGAGCGCCTGATAGCTCCATGTCTGCCGTTTATGAGCGTTAAGAATTTGACTCACGACAGCGGCCTGTATAGCATAAAATTGTAGGTGGTTAACGGGCCGATCGGCGTGGCCCACACTGCGCAGTTCTGACCGTGGAACGCGCGTGCCTGTCCACGCTTGCCTTCGACATAGAGATCATGCGCCGGCCCGTAACAAGCCCTTCTACAGGAATGGTCTAGCCATGAAACACCCCATGCACCTCCGAGCAAGCTCTGCTAACATCAGTCAATTTGTGCACTGAAGGCAAGCATTTCTCAGGTGCGAAACGGCTGACGGTCGAGCTCAATCGGATGTGCGGCGTGACCACCTTTAACGCACATGCGCATCCGCTCCCCCTCTCACCTCGCAACGCCAAGACACGGAGTGTCTGCTAACCTACGCTCGCTCCCCCCCTCTCTAAGGCACTGCGCCGTGCTCCCGGCCGGGTTGCAGAAATTAGATGCCTTTTCTCATCTCCTAACCACTACCATCACCACCCCCTCTGAAGTGGTTCTTGAGAGAAAGGAAAAGAAAAGTGAGCCCCGTTATTGTCTGCTTCAGTGAGCGACACCGCCACAGAGCTCACAAAGGGATGGGGGTAAGGAGGGATAAAAGGGTAGAAGTAAAGGTATGGGAAAGATGAAGAAGAAGCAACAACAAACTGAGGGGATAGGAGAGACAGGAAAGATGGAAGAACGGTCACTGGAGTCCGAGGACGGGGTACACTTGCGAGAGATGTTGTCGGCGTCTGTAGATGGCGTAGAGCAGGACCAGTAAATCAGAGCTGCGCTGTCGTCGAAGGTCGTCGGCGACAGGAGATGACGTAGGGCGAGCCCAGTCGGCCAGAGCTACGATGACGCCGAAGGTCGCGAGCGCGCGGAGCGCGCGGGTGCACAACCGGTCGGCTCGAAATCCAGGGAGCGTCTCCACCACCCCCTCTCTATCCTCTTGGCATTCCTGCCTACGGTGTTTACACTCCCAATGCACATGCACGTACCCCTCCTCTTTTTTCTCTCCTCTCTACGCTCCCTCTTCTCTCTCGCCTCGCAACGCCGGCACAGGCCGCGTCTGCTACCGAGTTTCTGTGCGTTTAGAAAAACGGGGTAACAATTTAGAGTACTACGTTCTATGACTAGTTACTCTACTATGGGAGAGCATAAAGCCATCCCTGTGCATGAACAGCAGTGCTTGATTCTTGACTGAAAAGACTGACTGCTCGAGCTGCACTACAACTCAATGACCACCCCGTATGTATAGGCACTGGATCTTGACCTTCAAGGCAGTGCCGGTGGGAGCTTTCTCTTCTGCGTTGTTCAACAATAAAATTCGCTGCGTACGCGTTAACAAAAAGTGGATTGCGGGTCTCTGTGTCCGATCGAAGTCCTTTGTCTCTCATTGCCCATTAGCAGCGATCGGCGTGTTGCAGTAGGAAACACGGGTCCATCACTGCGTGATTTGCGCTTCGGCAGATTTGTCTCCTGCACGATGTCGCGATGAGCGCCATGCAGCATCAACGCCGCCGCCAGTGTAAGAATCAGCGCCCAATGCTTCGCATATACATGTGGTATCCTTTAGCGGAGATGGTGCAAGTTTTCATAGAATAAATGTGACTGCATGTATGAGATTAGAAAGTACTTGTTCAATATGGGTTATGACTTCATTATAGCACTAAATATGGGCTTTCCCTTCATTTAGGAGATTAGTCCCTGCTTTTTTTAACGCCATAGCAAACATCGCTACTCGTAGTTACACCACAGTACTCAAGGTTTGATAATTTTAGTCTAACAAAAGAAAAAGTGTATCACAGGCCCGCCATATAGCTAATAACTTATTGTAGATCATCAACAACACGCTTCTTGCGCGACACTGGTCCAAAATCTCTAAAGTTAGGGGAATCCCTAACACCTCTTGTAAAGTTTATTAAAAACAAGGGATAAAAGCAATGCATGATTTATTTTCGGCGTGACATATAAATTAAACACTTGTATATTTCGATGCCATTTAACGAATAGTGTTTGTTATGTTCATATCGAAATCTACTGACACCTATTGTTTTCTTGAAGCAGCGGATGAAATTCGAAATGTATTCATAGAAACCCTATAGAGGTATGAAATGACAGTCGAGAAATTGGCATTTCATCCGTATTCATGCCGCACTGGTCAAAACTTGACTGCTAATCAGCACCTCTCCCCCAAATTACTATAATTTCGAAAAATGCTTCTTCTTGAACAATGAAACTCATTTGTAATGAACATGAGCAGTCACCACATTTGCTTGGTCTTCAACTCGCGAAATAGTATTGACTGTGCAAGTGATTATGAATGAACGCTCGCGTAGCCTTCAGACAAAAAGGAGGCAGATAATTTTTTGACGGAACACTTAGCAAGCAAGATGCGTCTTTTGTTGTAGCCTTTTCCTTTTGGATGTGTTGCATTTCCCGCAGCAGCTGGAGTTTAGTGTTTCGACAAAAGGCAAACACAGCCACTCTTGACTTGTTTCTGTGTTTTTACACCATGGACGTTTTTTTCAAATCTTGCAGCTCCGACACGCCCTCTTTGAGGAATGGGGAATCCAGTCGCTGTGTTCTGCAAATCGCTTTCCGCCAAGTAAGTAACCCCAGAAGAATTGCATGAAGCAGGCACAGGATGGCGAGCATGGCGTAAAGGTAATCGTATGATCCGTTCTTGTCTCGAAAGAAACCTGCAAGAAATGGCAACATTTACTTGAAGAATGACTCGGAATTTGGCTGTGTTGAACGATATTGAGAGAATCTAGGATACATACTACTGTGTGAAGGTGAACCACAAGCGAAGCTATTTACGCATGGCATAGAGGTGACACGGCGGAGGCCAGTTCTTCTGAACGCGCCCTTCAATGCTCCCACCCCTGTGCAGTCTATACTCAGACACGTCGACGACCACGCTGTTATCGATATTATGAATAGGCATCACTGTAGAACACAATGTAGGGAAGCCAACTTACGATGACTGAGCTTATGCCCATCCAAATAACATTGACTTCACTGCTAGGCGAACATGCATAAGCAACAGGCCCTTATGTGGAAATCATGACATGCGTGTCATGTAAGAACAATCTACATGCCACGCTCATGACGCGCTCGCCTCCCTTTCGCTAGCTTCACATATACCAAATTTGTTATTACGTGACGTGAATGAAAGATGACGGTATATGACTAGTGGAAACATGATAACCACGACATTCGTGTCATGTAAAAACATGACTACATGCCACGCTCATGATGCACTCGCAGTCGCTTCTTTACCTTCATATGTATCAATTTGGTATTGATTGATATGTGGGGTTTAACGTTCCAAAACCATTATATGATTATGAGAGACGCCATAGTGGAGGGCTCCGGATATTTCGACCAACTGGGTTTCTTTAACGTGCACGCAAATCTGAGCACAGGGGCCTACAACATTTGCGCCTCCATCGGAAATGCAGCCGCCGCAGCCGGAATTCGATCCCGCAACCTGCGGGTGAGCAGCCGAGTACTTTATCCACTAGACCACCGCGGCGGAGTATAAATTTGGAATTACGTCACGTGAATGGAATATTGAGGAGTACGACTGGTGAAAACATGATAATCGCGACTTGCGTGTTATGTAAGAGCATGACTACATCACGCTCTTTATCCGCTTGTGGCTGTTTCGCAAGCTTCACGTATACCAAATTTGGTATTACGTCACTTGAATGGACGACGAGCACAAATTCAAGGTGCAAACATGATAATAATGGCATAGAAGTCATGTACGGCCCAATTTACGTCTGCCTCGTAACGTTGTGCTGATTTTGTAGTGACAATTCAACCTTTTTTATTGGTGCTTCGCATATCATGGCTTCCCACGGTGTGGTACAAATTTTTTTTCTTGCGATACTCGTTACAGACACCAGCGGCAGCAGTGGCGGCTGCGAGCAAATACGGTGCCGCGCGTGATCCGTGTCTCATAAGAGCTTTCACTGTAAAAAAATCTTTACGGGTGCGATACGTATAAGCCGTTTGTAATCATTGAAATATTACCAGCCAGAAACGACCGAATACACGAAACGTCAAAGGAGACAGGAAAGCGGCTATAGTGGCTTTCCCATGTCTTTCCCTCTTTCTAGTCGCCGGATGTTTCTGGCTGGATAAATTTTTGTACGAAATGTACCAAGTTTTGATAAACATTCCTGTACCAAAGTGTGAAAGCTCCAGGATGTTTTTTAGTATTTTATCAATTGTTGCTATTTCTGATCACGTGGTTTTTTTCTTCTCGGAAGGTTGCTCTTCAAGAGTGCTCACCACTTGTGGTAAAAAAGTTCAAGGCATTCATATTCACGTTTTGCAAGCGTAAATGTGCGGCGTCGTAGTTTATATACTTGCCTTTGAAGCGCGGGTGTCGAGCTTCAAGCTCAACGAACGGTAAAAACATTTGCCCGGTCATGCATTAAAATATCACATCATCAAGACCCAAGGAAAACTTGCAAATTTTCGTGAGTGGCTTAAAAAGAACAGAACAACCGTCTTGCCGCCCCGCCGCGGTGGTCTAGTGGCTAAGGTACTCGGCTGCTGACCCGCACGTCGCGGGTTCAAATCCCGGCTGCGGCGGCTGCATTTTCGATGGAGGCGGAAATGTTGTAGGCCCGTGTACTCAGATTTGGGTGCACGTTAAAGAACCCCAGGTGGTCGAAATTTCCGGAGCCCTTCACTACGGCGTCTCTCATAATCATATGGCGGTTTTGGGACGTTAAACCTCACATATCAATCAATTAATCAATCAACCATTTTGCGAAGTTCCTTCGGGCTTTAGCTTTGATTCCCTTAGAACGACGTTTCAGGGGTGCTTTCTCACTCAGAAGACTGCAACGGGAGGGGAACTAATCATTAATATAAAGGTAGAAAACACACAAACCTTTTTGACACTAAATTCAATGTGGTCCCCTCTTATATGATTAGTTTACAAGGAAGATTACAATTGCTCATACTTCCAGGGCACTTGACCAACTTAAGGTATACCTGCAATTTGTTGCTATTATGACGCTTTCGCAAAGTTGAACGTAAAGGAATGCAATCAGGAAACCAAGTAGCAACCACGTTATTCATTTTATCTGCATGTACACATATGGGACAAGATTTTAAGGACAACAAGCTGCTTTATTTACTTGTATGTATATCGGTATGTGCCCGAATAAAGAATATTCATAAAATTTCATTTTAGGACCCATGGGGCTCACTAAATTGCACTTTTCAAATACTAATGTTGTCAGGACAGGAAAGTATAGGGGATACATGTTACTACATTTGTAATATGAAATTGAAGAAACAAAAGTGGACCAAATTATTACTTGCCATGGGCAGGGACCGAACCTACAACCTTCGAATAACTCGTTCGATGCTCTACCGACTGAGCTACCACTGCGGCTATTCTAACGCCCACTTTGTGGTGTATATATATGCATTAAACGTGGGAGTGTCAGTCAGCGCCGCAAATAGCCATGATGGCGAGTGTGGAACATTCTTTATGAGCCTGTTTGGCATCACGTAGCCCGTGAACCTATTACAATAGGGCAGCAGATCAATAATCCTTCGTTTCCTGGCTGAAGGCACCAACACATCTACCAGAACGAGCCGCTCCCTATGAATGAAGAACGAAAGTTTACAATTATGGGCAACGTTGTTTTTTCTTAGACACAATATTTATAGGATATCACAGACAATCATGCCAAAGGAGGATATGTGAGATGTTAGTAGAAGCCATTGTAATGTAAATGAGAAGAAATAAAATTGGGCGATAACTTGCCGTAAGCAGAGACCAAATCAGCGAGCTTTAGGATGTGTTATTTGAGAACGAGCTCCAATAGTACACTTCTTTCCTACATTTAAGGTAGCAACTACACACAATTATTGCCTCGGATGTCGAAATACATTTATTCAGGCAAACCTCCAAAGATTGTGACGGTTCCTTTCTAAAACATTATTCGGTGTAGTCCAAGTCCTGTGCATGATTAGCATATAATTTTGGGAGGGCTGGCAAGAAAATTCATAATTGCATGAAACTGGAACGTGCCCTTCGATAGAAATTTGAGCGGGCGCAGATCACCGATTGTTCAGGTACCTATGCATTTAAAACTACGAAAAGCTTGCGACATCGTAAACCTGTGTAGTTGATTAAATGCTTGAGTGAACAAGCGGTATCTGGCGTCACAGAGTTCGAAGGAGACAGAACCATATATAGTGTAGTACGAAGCATCTTCAGCTGCACCAATGCAAGAATGCGAAAGCGGCAGCTGAGCACTGGCCCCTGGAATAACAATTAGAGGGAAAGACAGCGTGACTTATAAGAGCATAACCTTTCATTCCCCGTATCTTATTGATACACGACGATGACCCCAAATTATGATGTGTATAATTTAAGGCAATTTTACCCTGGCATCACAAAAATGCATAAAAAGAGCTGTTATCGGGCTCTTAGCAAAATGATAATAAATGACGAAGCACTAACCGATTATGGATGGTCCGGAGAGCCACAGCGGTATTGACAGAATTCCTCCCACACCACAACAGAAGGTGAAGCATTCCAGGCCTACAAAGTCTGCGACTATCACCGACTTCATGCACAACACGTAACCTTGCGCGACTCCCATTGCCGTTGCCGCGGCGACCAGACCAGCGTACGTTGACTACCTGTGTTAGCACGACGAAGCAAATTGCGGCGGCTAAGAAACTCGCCACGACCCCAGGGCAGTGACGGTAGCGAAGTTTTTCCGTTGTGAAAGGAATGACCACACGGCCGACGAGAAGTCCCATGGAGTTGTAGGTGACGAGTTGTTTGCTATCTACGAGTGAGCAACCTTTGTCGACACCGTAGGCGACCACAGTAGCGTTGAAGGTCACGAATAAGTATTCACACATGGCAGAGTAAAACAAAGCTACGTAGAAAGACCAGGTGCGCATGCTTGCAATGACACTTGCAAACGAGCTGGTAGGAGGAGACGGGTGGTGAGTAGGCGACAGTGTGTCTGGTAAAACGTGAGAACATGTCGATGTCACTTGGTTGGCTTTGCTTGAAAGGCTTTGTGCAACCGGGTTATATGTGTTTTTCTCCCGGTGTTTTGCAGAGGCGCACCAAGAAAGCCGGGTTGGTCTGGGATACTTGATGAGCATAGTGAACGGTACGACGTGCAGCAGCAGACCGCCGGTAATCAGGAGACATCCTTCAATGCCGTATGCATTCGCCAAGTGCCATAGTAGTTGAGTGCCGGCCATACCGGAAACTGCTCTGAATACCCACATGACAGCGAATGCGGTGCCGCTATACTTGTCGAAGTATAAAAGGATGTACAAACTGAAACCTAGGAGGGCTGTGCCAATTCCGGCTCCTGGAAGAAAAGAAACACCGAGCAATGAGGACCTTCGTGTTCAACAAAACAAATAATTGGGAACGTTGTGCGCCTAGAAAAGCAGATAAATCCACTTAAACCTGGAAAAGGATGGAAGCGGGTTGGGGGAGGAATCATAGTGGCCGTGAGCAGAGAAACCTTATTGAAAAAAAGTCACAGTTTTGCCGCAATAGTAAAGCAATCAATGGAATAGCAACACGTAAGATTTAAAGCGAAAATTAGCAAGCATATTGAAACTTGGAGTGTGTTGCCAAGGCACGATGAACGCACAAAATGAACGCACAGCACGTCTCCGCACTAACAACGTTCTCAGCTCGACACTCAACACGCCTATCAAACACAATGGAGGCCACAAACATACGCAAAGCTACACATGGGACAAGCGCGAACTAGCAAGTGTGACAGTTATTACTTCACTATGTTTGAGCAGCGCGCTTTTCTCTCCGAAGCGAGTGAAGTGACCGATGCGCACTCTGTAACATGAATGAAACCTTTCCAGCAAAAGCACCTGATGTACAAACTTCACCCGCAGATGATAAAGACAAAAGGTATGTCCCGAGCCATCACATCGCGACGAGTGAGGCACTGTGCGCGCACCTGGCACCGCCTACCTGGTAAGGCAGAGAACACGCAGGCATTCTTTAGAGATCGCTGTATTGCCAGTGGTAAGTTCTGCATATATACAATTGCCTTTAGTATCTTGCAGGCCGTGTGATGCTGTGACCAATTGGTTGGCGCCGAATGCTTCGGAACGAAGAGGTCGGCGTTCCACGCATCGGAAAACTATTTTTCTTAATAGTTTTTTTAGGGGGGGGGGGGCTTTTTTTTCTATGTATACAGTGTACATATAAAGAAATGAAAGCGACAGCAACAGCGAAAAGCAGCCGAAAGATTTCACATAGTTGCCATTGCATTATTAAAATATAATCATAAAAGCGCGTCCGGTCTTCTCTGGCCAGAGCGAAAGCGAAACTCGTTAATCTTATGCACGCCGTGGTGTGGGCAGCACCACCCAAAACCATAGGGTTTTTGAGATGCCTTCGAGGTAAGCTTAGTCTGCCTAAGGCAACAAATGTACCTGTTATTTTCGCTATATATACTTGCACCTGGTTTGCTGCTCATGTGCATTAAATTGCTTACAGTTTACCTTTTCTACTAGAAAAAGTAATCGGAAAGAGCCTGTAACCAGTAGAGCTGACAGATGTTTTGTGATGACAACGAGTGTAGGAGATTTATTATGATATTAATTATATGGGCACTGTGGACAGGTTTTCATGTCCTCAGAATCACCATCGCTGCCCTGTTTCGTATAAAGTCTATATGGACAACATCTCCTGCACATCGCATTTTCTACCCGCAGGGAAAGCGGGGGAGCGAGTACGACGAACGCGGTGAACGCAGAGATAAAACGAAGTGACCCATCTCTATTAAGATATGCGTATTAGACGTGCCGTGGAATGTAGCTGAAGTCTTGAAAGAAGATCTAGAGACTCCAGATGGGCAGGGGGTGGGGGGGGGGACTATAAGAGAGGGATCGCCATCGAAGGCGCGTGTCTATCATGGCAGGCATCTCGAAACGGCTCGTATATCTTTTCCACGTACGCGATCTCAACGCGAAGAGATTGTGAAAAGCGCATCTCTCCATGAAGCGGTCGTATTATGTAACGCCACCGTTTTATAAGTTACGGGAAATCGGCTCGAAAGAGTCAGATAACATTGCAATCAGCTGCTATCGTATTTATTTCTTCGTCTTGTGGTGAAACCTATTCTTCATTTATAGTATATCATGTAAAAGAATCAGTTCCGATAAAGACATATACTGCCTTTCTTGACGTATCCAGAACGAAATGAATAAAGTGCCTGTTTAAGGGCTGGTTATTCAGCTTTTATAATGAATTTCATGGGTATTCAGACCCTGAAGTCGTGGTATGATTACGAAAGTCACTGAAGTGAAGGGCTTCAAAAATTTTGACCACCTGAAGCTGTTACTCGTGCGCGGAAATCTAAGCACAGAGGTCTTCAATGTTATAACTTTCTATCAGCGGCCGCAGCTGCGTTTTCATCTCGCGACCAGTAGGTCTGCAGCGTACAGGCACCGCAACAATATACCAACGCAAAATTTGGTTGTTAAGCTCATCAAATGAGATATTATCTCAATGGTAATCAAATAGTATCGCCATTTTAGGTGCTTTAATACAACGGACTCATTTAGAAACCAAGAAAGACACTTGAAAGAACTGGGCATCATCGTAACAGTAGAGTAGTAGTCTCAATTCTTTTGTCAGAAACATGTATTTACGTACTTTTAGTAATTGCCCAAGAGTAATAAATCTGCATCTGACAGCTGGGAAAAAATTTAAAACAAAAAAGACTATTGTCTTTAAGAGAACAAGAAAGGTTCATAAACGCTTCTGTGCCTAAGTTACGCTGCCAGTAAGTTTTTACTCACGTGGGAAAAAATTCCTCTCTGCCCCATTGTCCACCCATGTCCTCTACATAAACCATACCCCTATTGAGCAAGGTTCTGTTAGTAAAGTCTACAACGTGCTGAGTCATACCGTGGAGAACACCGAATGTAAAAGTCATCCATGCAATGGTGGGAGCTGAAGGTGGAAGCGATGAGACCAAGCGAAGCCAGGAGTCCCCCGACTAGTGTGATGTGAAATACAGACAGTCTGTCTTGCAACGCACTGACGACGAGACCTACGAAGAAACAAAAACACGAGGTCAGCGCCAGTAATTTCAGTCTGCATTTTCACCACGTGAAAGGATGCCAAGAAAATCGGTGGGTTTGAGAAGAATAACTTGGTTTGCGCAGTCAATCTTGTCTTCAACTATAGTGTAGTGCTGACGCGAACTGATGTCATTCAGTGTGGATGAAAGATCACCCCTCGCGTCTCGGGCATCTGAGCTCACAACCTTCGAATTAAAGCGTGAGTTCAAATTCCGCATACGAAAAAGTGTGATTTTACGTCCATATTATTGAAATTCAATTTACTGCCATTAATACTATACTACGCGTAATGACAACTAATATTATCCGCAGTTTTCTCACTGGCTGTTAAACATGTTAAATTATTAAGGTTGTGTCTAAAAAAGAAACGAGGGCCCCGCAAAAAGTTTTTCCTTCTTTCGTTCGTTCTAAGCTAGGGCCTCACCGCGGCAGACGTAGTGCCTTAGGTTACCATGCGAGATTTCATTGGTCACTTGCCACGTGCAAAGTCAACTTGCCAGGTGTTCTGTGGCAAAAAGAGTGTTTCCCCAGCTGCTGTCATTACTGTAGGAGCGGTGGTTACTCTGATTAAGGAGGCCACTTTCATGTTCAGATAAACCCAAAGAAGGGGCGCTAATACCCGTGCTGCCAGCTCTGCAATACAATGCGCTTGTCTAATTTCCCGAGTTAATTGCGACGGGTGCTTTTTTATCACTTCACCACTGGTCAAACATGGGGGTACATCCACCATCGGGAATTATAGAAGCGCATTGTATTGCAAGAGCTGGCAGCACGTGTATTAGCGCCCCTCTTTGGGGTTTATCTGAACATGAAGTGGCCTTCCTTACAGGAGTAACGCCTATGAATGTGTGATATGTGACGGTGTGATGTTGTGTGTTATCTTGTCGTTGCGTTAGGGTGGTTTTGTATGCTTGCGCTGGTCTACTTATTTGATGCAATTTGACAATAAAGCTCAGTTGGAAGTTAGCGCTCCGTCCTCTTGTGTCGGTCTGCTCGGCCGTTTCTTCTTCCCCGTAATGCGCTATAGCAGTTCAAGTGCTGTCATTACACTGCCAGGAACCACACGTGCAGAAGAGAAAGTGCCTTCCATCGTAACTCAAAGGGTAATGCATCAAACACGAAAACCGAAATTTCAGGCTTTGGATACCTCTGAAAGAAAGGGTTATTTTTTGCCCCACTTTTAATTTATTTCAATTCATATTATTCTTACTACACAAGAGACAATAACGGGTGTCCTCTACGCTGTGCCTGGCCTGATCTTCTTTTGAATTCACGAGTTAAATGGAAATGTTTGGAATTGTCGAGCTTTCGAGCAATACAGAATTAGAACCATTTTAATCCCTTAACTTTTGTATGGGAGTGCTTCCTTCAAGTAACCACTGGCACGATTGAATGAACTTGGGTTTAAAAGTTTATGTAAAAAGAGTGTCGATATCAACTAGCCGTTTGCTAGGGTAGTTCGAATAGATCTTAGGAGATAAAAACAGCGTACAGCCTTGAGGATGGAGCATTCCAAGGCTAAACGGGGTGGCATGACTTCAATTCCCAGCCATGGCTGGAACGTTTCGATTGCTGAGAAGGTCAAGTGGCCTCTCAATGAGCCTCAGGTGTTCATCGAAGAGCCTCGCAAGGTCATCTGTAATACGAAACCCCCGCTAAAGTGTGTCTCAAAAGTGTATCGCGTATTTCTTATACCATTGCCTAGTTCTCTGTACTGAAGACTTGTAGACCCTATCCGAGTGCAGTAAAAGCGTTGTGCCCTATCGCATAATTTCTCTTGATTGCACAATTTACCACCAAAAAAGCAAGGCATGTCATCCCACTTCAACACTACATGCATGGAACATCCCCACAAGAATAGAATCATCCTCATCTTTGTGGCCCGGCGTTTGTTAACAAAATGGAGGATACGAACAACACGCTTATTCTACATGCGCGCCATAAAAATAGTTTTCAAAATATTTGAACGAAGCAATAGTGATACTGAGATTTTTTTGTAACAGAACAATTTCAAGACCTAAGACATAAATCACTCATGGCAAAGCTGCGGATGTAGCTTTAATATTGCTACGTACCTCACATATTAGGGGTCAGAAGACGACAACGAGGAAGTGGTCTGCCTGTTGTGCGTGCTGTCTTCCATCTTGTATCATTTCAGACCCACCATTACCGCTGTCTCAAATTGCATCTGATAGCCTGCATCGCTCCCTGATCAGATATACTCCTTTTTCGATCTTCGGCTATTATTTATTTATTTATTTATTTATTTATTTATATACCTCGAAGGCCCCAGTCAGGGTATTACATGAGGGATGGGCGTAATTAGCAACATAGTAACGATTCAATCACGGTCTTGAATACATGTGGGTCGGAGTGGTGCATGGCGAAGGCAGGCAAGTTGTTCCAGTCCCGGGCGGTTGCAACAAAAAAAGGAGCGAAGGTGGGCAGTAGTTTGTGCTGGCGGTGGATAAACGGCTCGGGGATGGTTTGTACGGCTGGATAATCGATGAGCAGGCAGAATGGCTGGAACGTTGAAAGGAGAGTGATAAAATTTGTGAAAAAGACAGAGCTGAGATATATGACGACGTGATTCTAGGTTTTTGAGGTGGCCACGAGTTTTAAGTTTGGAAACGCTGGAATGATAAGAGTACACGGAGTAGATGAACCGGGCTGCGCGATTTCGAACAGATTCGAGAAGGTTAGATAGATTAGATTGATGAGGGTCCCAAACCGAGCATGCGTACTCCAATTTAGGGTGAACAAATGTGGTGTAAGCCAACAACTTCACTGATGAGGGAGCAAGTTTTAAATTCCTACGAAGTAAACCCAGCGCACAATTAGCGGAGGATGCTACGTTGTTAACGTGAGTGGACCACGTGAGGTTGCTTGAGAATGTTATGCCGAGGTATTTATAGGATTTTGCTGTTAAGATTGTAGAGCCCGAAATGATGTAAGTCGCTTGCTGATAATGTTGCCTACGGTGAAATGATATTAGCGATGTCTTAGTTACGTTTAAAGACATTAGCCAGTCGTTACACCAGGTTTCAATAAGGTTAAGGTCGTTTTGAAGTATAGCAATATTGGTAGGGTTTTTTATTGGACGGTACACGAAGCAATCATCTGCAAACAGGCGAATATTTGATGAAATGTTAGCTGGGAGGTCATTTATATAAATGTGATGTATGAAGGTAGCGATGGTTGGTAGAAGCCGAGAAGGAAGAAGCAGAACGGAATAAACATGGCGTATGAGCCAGGCCACGTCACCCAGTCATCGTAGCGTCACACGAATCGACAGGATGGAGACCTGCCTGCCCCTTCATCAGTCACTCATCATCGACGCAGTTCCGCAGAAGACGCCCTGACCGTACATTGACTACCGAATCATCGCCTAGGAGGACAACGACCAGCACCATGACAGAACCATCGGCTGACCTCGACATCCCCAAGTACACCGGATCAGTGGACGACGGACCCGTACAGGACTGGTTCAACCTGTTCGAACTCCATGCTACCGCTGCATCTTGGTCGGAACGGGAGATGGTTACGAACTTCAGCGACTACGTCACCGGTGAGGCATTTAAATTTTACCTAATTCACATATTCGAGAACGACGAGTCATGGCAAAAAATCAAAGAGGAGATGATTACCCGTTTTAGCGACTATGACCATGACCTACTCATTGCCAACCATTTAGAGACAACCGCACACTATCGTCGATTTCCTAAGCAGTCCTCAACCATTCGAAAGTCCAGCGCACATCGACAACTGCCTCAAGACGAAGTGGCACATGAGTTTACACACAGAAGGCCATGCGTATATTGGGAAAAACCCAACCGTCAAGCGCGCCTCCCTTCTGCGCGAAAGACGGCATTTCCTAAGTCATCACTTCAGCATATGACACGAGACGTTGCTCAACCACCCGATGCCCTTCACCCTTCGTCTCGCATACGTGGTACACCACCTGGGTTTTCGTCACGCGGTTCTTCAAGCGCTCCTAACGCTCCCCACTTGTCTTATAAGGACACCTTGCTCATGGTAGACCAGCTGACGCATGGAGAAAATACCGAACAACGCCATGACTACTCGAAGAGTGAAAATCCTGGTTTTACATCACTTGGCTCTTTCATCGCTCACAACGCTCACCTTACGCCTCACTCGCCCACTACGGTTGGGATAGAGCTGCGGAACTCCGAATATACTCAGCCAAGCCTTGGGCCAACAGTCCTCATTCATGCATCAGAACAGCTTATCTCCCAAGGTGCGGACACAGAGAAACAGCCCCAAGTATAATCTGACCAAACCAATCCTCTCGCAGTGTCGCCGTCGAGTTCCCAGCCACCTGAGAGCCCAATCAACACAGGAGGCTCGGAAGGATCAACTTTCAAGCACTTCCCTCTGCCAGGAACGTCCATTAAGAATGTCGTTGCAAGAGCCTCAGCAGATTTTTCTGTCAATTCTGGCACACTATCTCCATTGCCTGACACGAATCGCGACATCCTAACAAGCATCGACTATTTACTGATCAAATCACCATGCAAAGAAAAGCATACAAATGTTCCTGAAAGATGCCCATCTGACCAACTTTCGCAAAAAGACGAGCAATTTCAGCAAAGGCAACTCCACAAACTCCAGGAACTACAACGGACACACCAACAAGGACGACGACGCAAAGCAAGCGTCTTAAAACAAATTCAAGGAGCAAGGCATCTTCGCGTAAGGGATCGGCGCCAGAAACGCATTTGGCACAAAAGATCAAGACTGCGCCTAAGATTACAGCTTCGAAACCTCAGGAAACACCGAACAAGACAAGAAGTCACCAGTTCCAACACGCAAGGATTCAGACACCATCCCATTAGTTTACGACAACGAGCACGCACGCAGCAAAGACAGCGACGCCGAAGACCGATCTACTGCAACGCTTTCAAACAGCGTCCACTCTTCGCAATAATGCCAGCTATTTCATCAGTCT